TCGTAAGTTTCTTGATGTATTACACCGCAGTGGGCAAAAGCGCAAAAAAGCAAACATTTCTTTGCTAAATGTTACTGGTTCTGAGATAGAGTGGAATTTGTTGTTTTGGAAGCAAAGCATAGTTCTGATGCGCTGAACATCTGCTTTTGGCATCTCTCGGTACTCCATGACTAAACAATTCAGAGGCATACCAAGAATACTGAATGCTGGTCTTGCTGGCATTGTTGGAGTTACTTGTGTATTTCCTATTGATCTTGTCAAAACTCGCTTACAAAATCAAAGAATTGGACCTAAGGGGGAGTTGGAGTACAGTGGAATGTAAGCAAAGCAAGATTCTATCTTTTACTACTAGTAAAAGGAGTGAGTGACCCATGTTCAGTATTGACTGTGCAAAAAAGACTTGGAAATCTGGTGGCATGTCAAAATTTAGCAAGGTTTGTTCTCATCAGCTTAGTAACATTCATATTTGATGAAAAACTCAAAAGAACGAAGTTGATGTACCGTTTCAGATAAGAGCTCTTTACTCAGGATCTGCTGTTAATATTGTTCTAATCACTCCAGAAAAAGCTATAAAACTTGTTGCAAATGACTTCTTTCGCTATCATCTCGCCGTTCCTGGACAGAAGTGAGCAGTTGATTTCAGAGAAAAAAGTGATGTTTCTTAGCAGGGGGACAGCAACTCATGCAATCGAAGAAAATGAGAAAAAGAACTATTATTGATTTAAAAATAACAGAACACCAATTCACTCTTAACTCCTTATTTGTCAGTTCAAGGAAAATCCATGCTGGAGCCTATTAGAAATTGCTGAACCGTCACTGATTAGTGCTGAGGGCTTGCCGTGCTACGCCGTTCGTAGCTTTTGCAGGCGATTCTTCTGCTTTGTCCGTATTTCAAACACGTATCAATTTCTTGCCATTTGCTAGCAGAGGAAAAGCGATACGTATTTGAACTAACTAAACAGGCGGAATTTTACGACTGTCGGCTCAGTATGGCGGGCCCCAATA